CGTGTTACGAACTCGGCGAGTTGGTGAGACAACTCGGCGAATTGAGTTGGATTTTCCCGATTCCATTTAGAGAAACGAAGGAACTCGACGAGTCGCATAGATGCACTCGACGAGTTGGGTCAACATGGACTGTTGACTTCCGTTGACTTTTAGGGTTGGGTCAAGTTAGGGATTTTGGAGGCCATGGAAGGGTAAATTGGTCTTTCACTATTTCCGAGAAAAAGGAGTTAGCTTAACATCTTGGAGTTGTTATTATCAATTGTTAATTAGAGATAATTATTATATATGTAGGAAGAGTCTAGACCTACCATCGAGTACGAGACATTCTTGTTCTACCTACGAGGTGAGTCTTCTCACTATACTTACCTGAGTGGTAATATTGTGTGACCGGAGGGTCTTATTTGAGTTATTGACCGGAGGGTATTATTGAGTTACTGACCGGAGGGTCTTATGTGCTTGTACCGAGTTATTTGATATCATGCATCTTGTCTTTGTGATTCATGTTGTATATTATTCTGTGCCTTACTGAGTTAGGACAGGAGGGTCCAAACTGAGTTGTGATACCGGAGGGTCTTCACTGAGATACCGAACTGGAGGGTCCGACCCGAGTTGTGAGACCGGAGGGTCTTCACTGAGACACATGACCGGAGGGTCCTTATTGAGATATAGCCATGAGAGGCTAATTATTTGTGTGTGTGGTATTTGGGGAACTTACTAAGCTTCGTGCTTACAGTGTTGTGTGAAATGTGTTTCAGGTACCTCTCAGGATCGCGGGAAGGCACCGATATGATTGTACACACCAGCTTGAGATTATGTTTTGAGGATTCTGGGATATTGTTAAACATTTTGTTGTCTTGTGTTTTGAACAACTTATACATTTGGGTTTTGAAAAAATGAGATTGTGTTTTATGAAGTTTTAAAAATGAAAATTTTGTTTGAAAATTTAGAGTGTTACACCTAACATACATATGATACATACTGGAGCACATAATATAGTGAGAAAACTCACATGAATATTTTACTTAGACGATTGACAGTTATCAGGGTGATTCTATTAGCGATCCAATCTGGCTGGTAACGCGCCTAATAAGTATTAACCTATAATACTATAACTTATTAATTCCTATGGGAAATTTGATTATGAAAGTTAGATCTTTCACTAATCCCAATGAATGTTGAGAGTTTTATCAAATAAGGTCAGCCAAGCCGGATAGTCGGGAGGCAGGATCATTTCGACATATAGCCTTTTTCTGAAATCCAACAACCAAGCCAACATGACCCTTCTAGACACCTCTCCCGTAAGTAGATCAATCAACATTATAACTGAAATTACTGATAAATTTTATTTATATATATCCATAACAACGAATATGAATATAAATATAAGTTACACATAAAGCGTAGCTTAACTTACAGAGAGTTTCTAACAAAAACCGGGAAGATCGCAGACAAAATTTTGAAACCGAAAACTTTATCTCTCAGTCGCTCCAGGGCCTCGGTAAAGTAGTCGGGAACTAGGGAGCAAAGGTATGAGGGGTAGAAAGAGTTTCAAGAGGATTTTAGTGGAAATTGTATGGAGAATGAGTTGAAAATCGCACATATATAGGGGAATTTTAAGGGTGCGTAGCATGTATGGTCAGTGCGCGCCGCGCACTTGGTCGGCTTTGGTGACGTGGCTCCATGCATAAAGTGATACGTGGCGGGTTCTAGGTGGTGTGTCAGAGGCCGCCGTGCGCCTTGTCTGCACGCGCGCGATTTAGCATATTTTCAAAAATTCATATTTTATTCATATGAGCTCTATTTTCGACGTTCATTATATCCACACATAACTATCGACAAGATCTACAACTTTCATTTAGACTCCGTCGGCTAATTCTCATTTTATTTTTAAAGTTATATTTATCTAGGCTTAAACTGTTAAAGTTCGTATAAAAATCATAACTCTCTCATATGATATCCGATCTCGATTGTCTTTAATTCGACGGATAGGTATTTATGAGATCTTCAACTCTTCTTTAGATTGTTTTTCCTAACAATCGACCGATCTTAATTTCGGTTTCTATGTCGCATGCAGTTGTGCTGAAACTTCTAAAAATCATAATTTCTTCCTACAAAGTAAGCTTTAGGTGTTCTCTATATGCACGCTCTTGTTTTTGCGATTACTACGACTTTCATCAAGATTATCTATCATAAATAGTTCTCTATAAAAAAACGTTTATTTTCGTAACCGGTCGTTTATTTTGTAAGATGAAAATGGGGTGTTACACAAAATATTGAAACTTTTCTGAATATTACCACTTTTTTAACCAATAACGAAAATATTATGATTTTTTTTAAGATTACCCTTGCACTAATATATGTTATTATTAACAAACTACTTATTAACGTAAGACATCTTTTTTATTATAAACAAAATATGTTATTAAGACTTATTACAATTATTCGGTCGGCTATCTATTACGTCTATTAAGACATGGGTGAATTTTAGATTAAGTGTTTGATTTATCGAGTGTTCGAAAAAATTCCTTATCCCTTTGTCGTACTGTATTTTTTCACGACCCCTTATCCCTCTCTGCCTTCATCACCGCCACCATACCTCCTCCGCCTCCATTGATCTTCAGCCTCAGCTTCAACTGATCGCCCCTTTCTCTGCTTGCATTCTGTCCGCTCTACCGTGCTGCTCCACATGGAATCTATAATTTACTCTATATATAATTTAAAAGCATAGCTAACATATTAATTTGTCCATATCATCATCTCATACATATGGCATATGATTGTGACGGTTGACAAGAGATCCACCAATTTTATATTTATAGGTAATATCGGGTTAATTACCGGAACTAGTAAAAAACTGTAAATTGACATTAAATAAACTAACAATTGGGAATGAGGTTGGTAACAAACATGATCAAGTTTTTGTGTTTTGTGAGGAATGAGTAATTTCGGACTCATAAAAATATATAATATGTATTTTTTTATTTGCACCAAAAAAGTTTCAAAAATTTCTCTATTCATGTCCAAAATAGTTATTTTGAAATGTCTACTATCATCGTTTTTCAATAAAATGTCACAATTTTTAGTCTTTTTATCGTATCTATTACTCAATAGACATGCTTTTTTTTGTTAGATTTGAGTAAAAAAAGAAACATTTTCTCGAAATTCCAAAACTGTTTATTGGATTTCAGACTTGTTTTTGAAATTTTAAAATATGTTTTTTTACTGTTTGTAATTTGGAATTCTCTACAATGTATTTTTTCGTTAAAAAAATTTAATATGAAATAAAGTTAGTCTTATATGACCAATTGCAAACAAAATGATAATTTTTCCAAAACCTCATAAACTTAGTTATTTTGTTAACAAATGTACCTAATGGTTAGTTTGGTTAACATCCCAATTATAAACACATTAGTATTATAATTAATAATTAAAGTGTATTCTTTTTCTTAGCTACTTGCTAAGCGTGTGACTTTATATTTATATTATTTGTCATTTCCAAAAAAAGTATTCTTCATATCGGTAAAAAAAAAAGATAAAATACTTTGTTATTTGTTATAAGCCATAATTTCTTAAAATGCATATCTAAACACCTTTACTATTCATATGTTTTCGCGGGAAAATAAAAGGAGGGAATAGAAGTTGGTAAAACCACCAAGGCACCAAAGCCAATAAGCCATGATGAAAGTAAAAGATGGGTTTTGCAAAAGCAAAAGCAAGTTTTTGACCTTTTTGCCCTTAAATTATGCGATCAAAGGATTCCAACAAGTATGATGATCTCATTTAGTAAAAGACAAGCATCTAAAATCATTAACAAGAAAGCTGTTATCTTTTTTTTATTATAAAAAAGTATTAATTATAATTCAGCTATGTATATATATTTCTTTTTATATAAAAAAAAAACATAAAAGAGTAGTTTAATGTATGATAATCTAGTTTACCAGTTTTCACAAACAGAAGAATTTATAAATGATCTTAGTGTTCTAAAAGAATTATGCGTTCTAAATTTAATTTATTGATTACTACAACTTAAAATCAAAATAATCATAATGTAATGTTTGGACAAAAAGTATGTCATATGGAACAAAACTGATTGTCAAAGTGTAAGATAAGATAACTTATAAGAAATCTGATAGAGCATAAAATACATTCCTCTAAATAAAAATACTTCAATAAATATATAATAATAACAATGTAACTTTTTATCTTTAAAGTTTTAAATAATCAGAATTTAACACTCATCAATATCAAAAGTAATTGTTGCAACTTCATACAACAAACATATACCAAAACATTATCTTCTACATGTGTTGTTACAATAATATCAAATTCTCATCATCTAAAAATAAAATCACGAAGTATTCAAGTAATCATATCTCTTATTTGATTTACTCGATCTAACTTGATCAGCTTTAGACTTATTTGATACCATAATTAGAAGCCTTTGATATGCCTCTTATTGGGTTTGATAGGACTCAATCAGCAACTATTAAACATCAGCTTAACATCGATTTTAAAAATACATTGCAAAAAAAAATCCCACTCAAAATACGTTTTCTTTTTACATCCAATTTGCAAATAATGCACCCAAATATGAAATACATATCAAGCATCATTATAAATCTTGCATCATAATATAAGATATCATCACCAATTGTAGCAAGAACACATGACTAATTAACTACTAATCATTCAAGAAAAAGAAGACATAAAAAAGATGAATAACAACACATTTTTGTTTTTTTTTTTTCATGTACCTTGAATTCTCCCAATTCGTGGTAATTCCATATCAACTGCAGACAAATTATGCATATGATAATTCTCTGAAGAAGTCGCAAATTTTCTTTTCTTAGACCATAACCAAATCTTTGAAACCGAAAAACTATCCGTTTTTGCCCCAATATTAATCTTTTTCCCCTCAATATCTTCATCCATTCTATGATCCGCGATTCCTTCTACCCCTTTCACAAATTTCAAATTCTGGAGATCTTTTTGATGATGATTCAATGGAACCCTAAGATTCGTGTGCCCAACAACATACTCATAAGAACCCATTGAATAACATCTTCGAGCATCTAAATTACTACTACTAGTCTCACCTCCTGTTTCGCCTTCACTTTCAGTCAATTTTCTGAACTTTCCAAGTCTGACAGAAAAAACCCCCTTTTCAATCGGCGTTTGTTCAGGATCAATTGTTTTTGATGAAACCCTAATCTCATCTGCTTCCCGGGGATCATCAAAATCGAAAATTGGATTATCCATGGAGAACTCAGGATCGAAAAGAGTGTTTCTGCAAAGGGGACATGTCGAATTCGATAGAAGCCATGTATCTATACAACTGATATGAAAAGCATGGCTACACGTTGGGAGTAATCGCAATTTATCGTTTTCAGAAAACTCGCATAAACAAACGGCGCAATCGAAGGGCTCGTGAGCTCCGACTACTTCTTTGTACATAAAAACAGGAAGAGCGTCGATAAATGTTTGATCTAAACCGGAATCATGTAAATGGAAAAGCTGTTGGAGTTGTCGTTGAAGTGTGTCGGATGGAGACCCATCTGGGAATCGATTTGATTGATTTGAATGCGATTGAGAGTTGTGTTTTGTTAAGAATCTAACGAGTAAGTGAAGCAAACCGGAGATGAAGAACAAAACGGCCAAAATCACGATAATGAATAGAACAGCTGGGCTGATTTTTGGAGAAGATGAAGGGGATGATGTTTTATGGAAAGTTACAGTAAATGGAGGTGAAAACGACGATGAAGATGAAGGTGGAGAAGGCATCGATTGTTGATATCCGATAAACCCATCTTCTTTATAGATTTGATATCTCATCGAAGAAAGTTTAACATTTGCCACCATTGAAGTGAAGAGATCTCTACAGTTTTTCTTCACGGAAAACAAAACCCCAAATCATATTTTTTACGATGAAAGATTCATACCCAGAAGCTAAAATCCAAAACGTCGAAAATTTTGGCTTCAGATTCAACAGTTTCAGAAGATAATTAGTAGTGGGTCATGCTGGATTAAGCTAAAAGACGATTTCACAACACGAACCACCGATCCTTGTTCAATAATAGCAGGTAGATAGTGACAAAATCAGATTAAATTTCCACTTTTTTTTTTCAATTCTCACCTACCTTGAACCTTGAACAAGCCCACCTTCTGGTTCAGTGGCTGAAGATGAAACCCTAAAAAGAGGGCTTCAAGAGAAAGGAGGGAGGATTAATATATGCTGAAAATCAGAAAACCCTATTTGATGCTATAGAAGGAAATTAGGGAAAATGGAGTATAAATTAAAAAAAAAATGAAAAAATGATTGGGAAAGGGGAAGTGAAAGAGATGGGTGAGTGAATGAATGAATGAATTGCTGTTTGCTAGTTACCGAAGTGAGTATTCAAAGAAGAAATCAAGAGATTTTGAGTGGGAAGATGACACGCGATGTGGAGCGCGTGAGAGAATCGGTAGATGAAAAACTACAAAAAGTGGCTCATGATGTGGACTCTTTTGTCTAAAGTTTAAACCATGGATGGAGTCAAACGATGCACAGTTCTAACCATGAAGTTGTAGCATCAAATCAACAAAGTTATGAGTACAAAACTAGTGATACAATCATAAAATCCAAAATTTCCATTTAAAGATTTAATCATTTTGATTTTTAGTGTGGATTTAGATGATAATTTATAACATTAGAGATTTGGATCATTCAAAAATCTGAATAATTTATAACATTAGAGATTTGGATTATTCAAAAATATATTTCTATTTGTTAATAACTCATTTGTTTATTTAATAAGTTATAGTTGAGACTTGTCTAGGTCTTTTTTGTCATTTCCATCCTCACGGTTTAAATTATTAAGTTATTTATTTTTTTTCTTTAATATTAAATAAAACAATGACAAATTTTCATTAGTATCTTTGGTTTCCAAAAAATAGCAATTTCATTGATAACGTTGTAATGCATGTCCCCCTTTTTCAAATTAAACATGGTTAGTCATTGTTAGTCTTTTTGGGTGACTTTGTTAATATGTTTTTTTTAAAGAGACAAAAGCCTCGACAAAACTAACTTTGTTAATATAAGGGTTAAATGCTTGTTAGTCCTTGTTAGTCTTTTTGGGTGACTTTGTTAATACAAGGGTTAAATGCTTATGAAATGTCTATTTAACCCCCCCCCCCCCCCCCCCCTCTTATTTATTTTATTATTTATCATTTTATTATATTAGAATTTAGAACCTAACCAACTACCCTCACCTGCAAACCCCTCTCTTTCCATCCATCCCCTTCTCCACATCCGACGATTACCTCTCCTTTCTTGATTAATGCAAATCGTCAATCGGCAAATTTAGGGGATTTGGTTTCGTAACAATCATTGAGAGACTCTATTGATGAGATAAATGGACATTGATAGTGATAGTGGTGGGTGTCTCCATGAAGGAGTTGGTGGATATCATGGTGACCGATACGAAGGTGATTGTCATGAAGGTGGCGGTAGAAACACAGGTGGTTGGTATGGTGGAAGTCATGATTGTAGGTACGGTGGTTGTGATGGTGTGATGGTAGAAACATAGGTACGGTGGCTGTGAAGGTGTGATGGTAGATTTGGGTATCATTGTCTAGCCTGACTTGACATTGTCGTCATTCCCCAACTCTTGCCCATCATGTTTAAGTTGAATCGCGCTCCCTGCTATCTATTATATACGGTTTGTGTTTCGAACATGTTTTGGGCTTGGGATAAGAGAATAGAAAAGCCTAGATACGTTTTTTAAGCATTAAACACATTGTTGAAAAATTGGTTATGTAAGTGATCATCACTAAAATGAGATGAAAAGCCTTTAAAAATGACTAACATATATTATCAATTTTTTTTTCATATTATCACACTTAAAAAATTAAGAAAAAGTGAGGAAAAATGCCTGAGGGACTTAAAGTGTAAAAATTACCAAACTTGAACCATATGTGTCCAACACGACCGTTGGACACTCTTTGGATCGTTGGATGATTTGGTACCGAGAAGCATCATCATATCATTGGACAGTCTCGATCTGAGAAGTCATCGACTAATGGACGATTTGGTACCATCATATGCGAATATAGACACTCTTCAAATAGATTATTATAAATGAATAAAGACAAATTGTTATATGTAAATAGATCAAGTATGCCAAAATATGTAAATGTTTTTTTTTTGTCATTTTAGATATATAAAAAGTTTTTGCCAAAGATTCTAAAAAACATTGTGCTTTTCAACGTATAGCTAATCCAAACATTTTATTTTTAAAACACTCTTTTACTACCATATACACTAATAAACACTTTACCAAAAAACGTTTTTTGTTTTTCAAACTCAATCTCAAACACCAATAAAAATTTTAAAAGGTTAGTCTTAGAACATGATACCACAAAGATCCAGACTACATGCAAAAATAGAAATTTACACAAACATCATGTTAATAGTAATACTAGATCTTGGTCACAACCACACATTCAAAGACCCAATTTGGCCAAACACAAACTGTTCAAACAATAATGAATTTGGACTTTGAGTGGCTATCAAATCATAAAGAAAATGATCCATTGAGGTTGCCAAACAAGAGCCACAAATTACACAACAACATTAGCATACATGTGATAGATACCTTCACTCACAATATGAAATATAACCTACTACCACAAAAAACAAATTTCACTATAATCATAATTTTCAACATCCAAGTAATTTTGTTGGTTCTCGAGTAAAAAAATATGCGTTGACCATACTGGGTGTCCCACCAACCGGTCCCACAGCCAACATTGGGAAGTAAATCAGGTAAATCACAATGTCCCTACTGTTCCAAGGATCTTTGTTCATATTCGAGCACGGAGTTAACCGGAGCTCTTGATTTCAAAACCATTTCCTTATACTCTTCTTGGGGACTTGAAAGAGACACGATGGCCCCACCAGCACCAACCGAAGCTTCACCTTGGTGAACAACCACGGTTCGTATGACAATATTGAGATCAAAAGTTTGGTTATATGAAAAGAAGCCAATACAACCAGAGTATATGCCTCTCGAGCAACTTTCCAAAGAGTCAAGAAGTTCCATTGACCTTAATTTCGGTGCACCGGTCATCGAACCACCAGGGAATGCGGCTCGAACGCAATCGATCGCGGTTAGGTTTGACCGTTTCTTGCCTTGCACCGTGCTCACCATGGTGTGCACGGTCGCATATGATTCCACGTCCATGAGCCGCGGGACGTGGACTGAACCTGGGTCGCATACGCGACCCAGGTCGTTTCTTAGCAGATCGACTATCATTAGATTTTCCGCTTGGTCTTTTTCACTGTCGAATGAATTTTGAATTAAAATTCAGTTCGGGTGAACGAAATATAATGGAATGACACACATTCCATTCCATTCCTTAGACATAAAAGGAAAAAAGAACTTGTGTTGTAGTTGTGATTTATGCATGAAATCACAACTACAACACAGGTCAGGAATGGAATGGAATGATACAGATTTCATTCCATTCCTTAGATATAAAAAGCAAAAGACCGACCTGTATTGTAGTTGTGATTTAAGCATGTGATCTTCGTGAGGTGTGGATCCACGTGCGATAGTGCCCTTAATAGGTTTAGCTTCAAGAATACCATCTCTATCTAACCTCAAGAATCTCTCAGGGGAAGAACAACAAATAGTTAAATCTTCCTTTGAAAAATTAAGCCATGCAGCATAAGGAGCAGGATTCTTCTCTCTAAGATGTAAGTAAATCCCCAAACGATTCAAATCTCCTAATTTCTTTCTCATTTGAGTTGTTAAACACAGCTCATAGCTTTCACCATCTTTTATAAACTCCTGACATTTTTCCACGTCTTTTATATACCGCTCTTCATTTTTATCAGAAAGAAACGTACTTTCGGTTTTTTTCTTATTATAATATTGTACTTTGGGAAGAGTAGTAGTAGGTGGTTTTAAGGTTATAAGCTTTTGATAAACATCATCGATCCATGTTGTTTTTGTTTTTGTGGTTTGATCGTGTAAATTTAGAATGTAGATATCATCATTGGAATGATCTATTGCTATAAGATTGTCTACAAAAAAGAAACATGCATCTGGTGTTTTTGCCTTGTGTTGGTTATATGGTGCACCACATTCTACTTTAAGGCCATATCTGTAAATAAATAAAAAGATTTTTATATTATTAAAAATTGAAATAAACTATGAATTATAAAAAGTTATATACCCGAGATAGCCTACGTATCCACCGTAAAATTCAAATGGTAATCCTTGGAAATCTTTTTCATCATAATGAATAGATTGAAGTTCCTGATAAAAAAAACATGTCAGAAAAAATTAAAATGTTATTAAGAATTGAATAAATGTTACCTTATTCATGAAATGGAAGCAACCTTCTTCCAAAAATGTTGTGGTGGATAATCCTTGAGCATTTTCAATTGTAATATTACCTCCACCTCCACTTGTAGATGTAGTCTCACTGAAGAAGATAACAGGGTTAAATGCAAGAAATATAAATGTATTTTATTTCTTCTACTTTTGAAAAATCAAAGTGATATTTATTCAAACCTTGGGTCCAAATCCGATAATCTGAATGTTATCTGTTTCCAAAGAGAGCCACCTTTTCCACCCATAAATGAAAATCTTGCTCTTCTCTGTATAACATGCATATATTCAATGACAGGGATGATAAGGGTATTTATGTCTTTTGCACAGACGAAAAATCAAGAATTGCAAATTTACTCAAAATTTTCAACAAGGAATTAATTTTATTGTTTATAAAGTAAAGAGATATGACCTTTTCTGTAGAGGAGCTATCAAGCCAAAATGTATTTTCAGCCTTTTCATCTCCAAACAATTCAAGAAATA